GGCCGGCCGTAATCGTATGGAGGAACTGCTGTCGCTGGCCTGGTCCCACAATCCCCTAACCACCCTCAAGGTCATCTACAAGATACTATTGGACCATCATGACGAAATATTCCGCACGATGATAATTTGGCTCCACCAGAACCACCCCAAGACCCTATCATGCAACATCGAGCCTATTGCCGGATTGTTCGTGGATTTCTGGCAATTTTGCAAACTTCTGAATGTGCATCTAGTTCTAAAAGACGAACGCCAAGTTGTTGAAGATGGCTTTCCCCGGATTAGATTTGAAACAAGCCATGACCTAGAACAAGGCCAAGACGTGAGGCAGCAAAAGCAAATGGCTGTCGAGAGGTACGGGCGTGACCCGGAGTATCGCTTCTTACACGAGTTTATTTCAGACATTTTTGCAGAGTGCTTGAAGTCTGATATTGAAAAACTGAAGCATCAAAATCTGAAGCACTCTGATGATGATGATGAGAAAGACAACTGGTCGAAGATAACCGATGCTGCAACCAGTTGCCTTTCCATGGGCACCAACTTTAACGACCCCACTCTGCTGCGGCAGAGCATAGCGAGGAAAGTTTTTCCCCGAGAATCATACCCAGAATACCAAGGTGTTGAGGAGACCGATTATGCAGAGTCTGTCCTAGATCGCCTCAGAAAGGAGGTTTTGCTGCCCTTGGACAAGTTGGACAAAGCCTACGAATCTCAAGACCGTGTAGTTGAGAAGTATTTGGAGGAGGTGAAAGCTGGCAAGTCCAAGATTGCACCAGATGCTTTGCTTCCGCATCAAATCATAAGGTATGTGAATCATTGGAATTTCGGGCAAGTGGCTGAGCTTCAGTGGAAGGCCATGGTGGAGGGTATAAAAAAGCAAGGGAAATTAAACGGCAAGAAGATACTCAACAACTGCTTGGCTGTATGCAACCTCCAGTCCATGTTCAAGCCCGGGATGCGCAGCATGGACTCATCCGTGGGGCTTACACTTTTGATATCTGAACTGAATGAAGAGCCATGGAAAGGAAAGGTAATCCATTTCAGTTCGAATCCTCGGCTACATCTGATAAAAGGCGATGAACTTACTTACAGGTGCGACTTTTTGACAAGGAGAGTGCCCTACAATTGGTGTTGGAAGGTTGACTTTGAGAAGGTGCTTGATTTGATTCTAGAAGAGGCTGTGAATGGGAATTTGAAGCCAGAGCAGATGATCAAGAAGGTGTTTGTCTTCACCGAATCCACAGACTTTGATTATGCTAGGTCCAAGCCTAATAATGAGGAGTCTGATAACGAGGATTCAGATAACAGTTGGAAGACTATTTATGAGGGAATACAGAGAAAGTATAAGGAGAAAGGGTATGATAATGCGGTGCCACATATTGTGTATTGGAAAATGTGGTCTTGTCTCTCCGATCCTAGGTGGTGGGTGAAGTCTTCCGAACAACCTGGGGTGACGATGCTGGAAGGCACCGCTGACAATTTGCTCATGTTGGTCTTGGACAATGGAGGGGAAATTTCCCTGGAACTTATCATGGAAGCAACTATCTCAGGCAAAGAGTATCAGAAGCTGCTTGTAGTGGACTGAGTACTCGCTGGTTTTGATGTTCATCATCTGTTGTAGTTAGTTGTTTTGTTTCCTCTTTTCCTTGAAGACCAGAAACTTAATTAAATCGTTTTAGGAAGTTCAAGGTTGCTGCTGCTATGAAATTAGATGAGGTTCCATTTATGTGGTTGCTTTTAGGGTTGTTTTTGGATATCCCTACAAATTTGATATCAGTTAGTGTATTAGCAACTTTTTCTGTGCAAGCAAATACTGAATAACATTCTCATTAAGAACCGCGTGATTTGCATTCTTTTTTTTTTTGGTCTGTAATATTCCTGTTCCAGTAAGCATCCTCATGCACAAAGAATGAAATCCTCTTTCTTAAGGTATGAGAAAGAAAGAATATTTGACCCGACATTTATAATGTATAGTCATTAGGTTTCTGAAAAAATTTACTAGGCGCGAATCGGATTGTTTAATTTGAGACTTCTGTGTCTAGAGTCTGATTGTGCTTTTAAGTTTAACAGCAGATATATGCTCCATCTGATGTTAATCGGATTGTTTAATTTGAGACTTCTGTGTCTAGAGTCTAATTGTGCTTTTAAGTTTAACAGCAGATATATGCTCCATCTGATGTTGGAACTAAGAAGACTAGTTGAAGCTCTTTTTTCCAATAATTTATATTATATGTGTTCTGTGAAGAACAGAGGAGACTTGAAATGGAGTTTGGTAATTGATGTTTAACAGACAATTCAAGCTGTGTATATGATATTGCTTAATTACTCTGTTCTTTTTCCATCACACTGCATTTAACCTCCATGAGGACCGAGAGCTTCCTCGTCTCGCCCCCATGAGGAAATTTTTTTGTCACGCTATCTCGAAGCATAAATATTTTGCTGTGAATTATTACTACGAGATAGGCTGAGGATCTGGAAATATTATGCACAATCATTGAAGCATAGCTATAGAATATGCAAGAAATGGTTTCTAAAGATTAAAAGGAAAAAAGAGTACAGGTTGTAAAAAGTTTGGCATCTGCTTGCCTTTTCCTATATCAGAGCAGTTAGGCTGATTATGGGGGAAAAGAAGGTAATGGAATCCAAATGATTGCAAAATGTGGGCATAATCATCCTTTTCAATATCTGTCAGATAAGCAATTAAGTATTCAAAATAAATAAAAAAGACAAAATATATTTGCCAAGAAATTCCCAGTTTGAACTTTGGAAATGTTATGACATCTTGGTTTTGGAAGTTTCTAACAGCAAAATCAAGAACCATATTACTGCTAGGAAACATTTGAACATGTCATGTTCAAGGTTAAAACACTGTTTAGTTTTTTTTTGTTTTTTTTTATTTTTTTATTTTTTATTTTTTATTTTTTATTTTTTAAATGATGTGATTGATAACTACATTTATGAAGTAGCTTACACTAACCCATGTTATGTGGATTAATTCCAATTACAAAGAGGTTCCTCTGTAAATAGAAAAATCAGACCTGCAAAAGTTAGATTTTCTTTCTTCAATTTGTTAAAAAAATTCAATGGTGATGAGTGGTGAATTATCAACTCTATGAAGGCCTATATATTGATAGACATCTGGACGTCGAAAATTTTGATTATATATAGCCTATGAGGAAAATTCTCGAAAATTTTGATTCTTTAGGCTTTTGAGAAATTCGCCTATGCAGACGTCCGGATGTTATTATCGTGCGGGAGCCATGTATTTTCTATTACCCTTTCCTGTTTATAATGACATTCGCATGATAATATTGTGTGAGCATCAGGATGAGAGAATAACTCTCTCTCTCTCCCTCAATATATATATATATATACTTTAAATTCCTTCTTTTTCCAGTCGTTGTCAAATGATATGAAAGTTAGATTACAACAACCATCCAAAGTAAGAGGTGTTTTTCAGCATTTAGCCGTTTATTGTTGTGTTTAACTGTTGATGTCGAAAATTTGACAAGCCTAAAGAATCAAGAATAAATAAAGGAAGGGATGAATAAATTGCTCAAAAGTTAAAGCCTAACCGAATCATCTCCAAAAACAAATTTCCAAATGCTTTTTAACTATGCCCCATAAGCAAGAGATTGATCTAAGTAAACGTAATACCATTACAAGCAGTAAAGAAGCATAACCTCCAAAGAAACATCCTAGCATGAATCCACATCTAATTAATGTTTGTCGACCACCGACGTGCGTGTAAGTACTTTCTTTAACACTTATATCTATCAATTAATATTATATTACAGGTTCATGAAATATCAACTTTGTCGTTCACCAAAAATATCAACTTTGTCATTCACATGTATATATATATATTATAATATGTGTATGTACATATATTTCCTAATTGTTCTTACAAAATTTACATTGTTACAGTGTAATATGGTGTGTGTGTGTGTTTGTATATTTCATGAATGAGGGATGATGAGGACTAGTATGGAAATGACAAATCTGACCTCGCCCACCAGCAGCCATTTTTTTATAACATCCAATTGAATTGACCATGGTCACAAATCATATCTCTCCCAACAGTTTGACATTTTTTGACAGTTTTTCAGATGTCAATAGAAAAAGATGTACGCTGGAAGAAGAAGACGGTTGCTCTTTGCCCTTCTTCACGTAATTCAAGTCAAAATGTCATTGGTTAATTCTTCATCATAGATTTTGCATGATGTTCTTATCATAACCCAAATTATATTAAATAAAAAAAAGTTAACCTTTTTGTTTTATTGTTTGACCTATTGCAAGAAACCCAAATGAATAAATAATTTAAGTATATAGTATTATGTAACCTACCAATGATAGCAATATAGCCATTCACTTAATGACACGTGGCTCACATTTTGACCCACCACATAATAGCGCCAAAAAAAATAAAGACTCTGAGTCAATATCAAAAGTACGGTCCACCACAAGCCTCCTGTTCCAAAGCAAATTAATCCTTTTTCTTTTCTTTGGGTTAACAATATGTATATGTATATCAATGAAAATGAAAATGAGAATGATATTACGAAGATAATAATGAAAATGATATTATATGTATATCGATGAAATTTCACTTTTTGAAACTCTGAGTACAAAGGTACATTGTTATCATGCGGAATCAAATGGTAAATTTAATAGCCGATTTTTAGATTTGTTGGTTTTGTGATACAACTAAAAGTTAACATGTCATAAGTTTGAAGACTAATATCAAATTCCTGTATTATCGAAAATGGTAAACTTAATATAAAATCAAAATTAAGATATAAGTACGAGAAAAGTCGCCTCCTCGTATAAGAATGTAAATTGCAACTCATAGAAATGTCAACGAGTCCATAGCCCCGTGACACCTCCTCCTCTCCCTCCAAACTTTGAATAAAAAACTCATGGAAATGGCAATTTACCATTTCATTCATGTTTGCGCTTACTAATTGTGGGGGAAAAATCTCAGAACCTTTTTATTTTTATTTTTCTGGTGAAGAGTTTTCTATGAAACTAATAAATACAAAAAACACAAAAATGGGGTAAAAGCAAACAAACGAAGAAACTAATAAATACTAGCACAAGTATAAAAAAATTCATGTAATTACTCACATTGTATAATTTTTTATTATAAATGATTAGTTATATAATTTAGATGATCTAGGTTCAAATTATAAACATAAAATATTTGAATTTACCTTCTGAATTTGTACTCAATAAGACATAAGGTTGGATAAGTTTTTGTCAAACATTATCCAAACAATAAATTCCCAATTTTACGTCATCCCAAAAAATTGAAAAAGCTAAAAAAGCTAAAAAAGAAAAAAGAAAATGGCACAATGGTAAAAAGAGTGAGAAAACAATGTCATTTCGAAGAGTGGCCTCAAACCCAGAATAAAACCCCACTTGCATGTCTACCTCACGGCGCTCTCACACCCACACCCACAGTCTTGCGTCTTCCCCTGCCCTCAATTTTTACTATTTTCCTCTTCTTTCTCTCCTCTGTAGCATAATAAAGAAAACAGAGGAAACAAGAAGAAAATCCCAAAAACAAAAAAGCCTAGAAAATGAAACATAGAAGAATCTAAAGTGCTGCTTCCCTTTCTCTGTTTGCTATACGAAATGGGGTTTTGACTGAGAAATCATCAAAACCCAAATCTCAGAAATCCACGAATTGCTAGTTTCTGCTATTAATGTCTGCTTCAGGCTTAGCCGCAGAGCCGAACCAGGAGGTGTTTTCATGGCTCAAAACCCTACCTGTAGCTCCAGAGTACCACCCAACTTGGGCCGAGTTCCAAGATCCGATTGCCTACATTTTCAAGATCGAGAAGGAGGCTTCCAAGTACGGAATCTGCAAAATCGTGCCTCCGGTACCGCCTTCTCCGAAGAAGACCGCAATTGCGAACCTGAACCGGTCTCTGGCGGCTCGGGCCGGCCCTTCCGGGGCCTCAGGCACTAAATCTCAGCCCACATTCACTACCCGGCAGCAGCAGATCGGGTTCTGCCCTCGGAAACCCCGACCAGTGAACCGACCCGTGTGGCAGAGCGGCGAGTACTACACTTTTCAGCAATTCGAAGCGAAAGCCAAGAGCTTTGAAAAGACTTACTTGAGAAAATGTAACAAAAAAGGAGGGCTTTCACCTCTGGATATCGAAACCCTTTACTGGAAAGCGACTGTGGACAAACCCTTTTCTGTAGAGTATGCCAACGACATGCCCGGTTCGGCTTTCGTGCCGGTAAGTGCCAGAAAGAGTAGTACTAGTAGAGATGCAGGGGATAATGTGACCCTTGGTGAGACTGCTTGGAATATGAGGGGAGTGTCGAGGTCAAAAGGGTCTTTGTTGAGGTTTATGAAGGAGGAGATTCCAGGGGTTACATCACCTATGGTGTATATAGCTATGTTGTTCAGCTGGTTTGCTTGGCATGTGGAGGACCACGACTTGCATAGCTTGAATTATCTGCATATGGGAGCAGGGAAGACGTGGTATGGCGTGCCTAGGGAAGCAGCGGTTGCATTCGAGGAGGTGGTGAGGGTGCAGGGTTATGCAGGAGAGATCAATCCTCTTGGTG